TATTATTATTATCAATATATCATTATTTATTATTGTCATCATTTGAATTCATATTGTCCCAGTCACAACTCTGCGGACTCCGACACCACGCAGAGTCACCCCATAGCCTGTGGGGTGAATAATCATTGGGACCAAGAACCGTGTGCCCTGAGTAAACGCAATGATCCAAGTATGACGGCCTTCTGCATTCCACCATCCAGAATGTGTGTCTTGTCACTGCACGCTGGGATTTTCTGGATTCCCTATCATTCCTATTATTACCATTATTATCATTAATTTTATCATTATAATTATCTATTTTCATTCTAAGATCAATCAGCCATCAGTTCAGTGATCACTCACATCGCAGTTGCAGACTGATATCTGACGAAGGCAATGACATCAGGCGAGTTCAAATGAGAAAATGCGGTGAAAACAATGTTTAATTAACATGCCATCATGGAGTTCAACCTGAGCGGGAATTTACGTTGCACAGGAGCATAATTATCGTCATGTCTGAGCCAGATACTTATTATTTCATCGGTTTCGATCGCCCTTTCACTCTTCACTGGTCAAATATGATATTCATAATATGCATTATTGCATTATGCAAGATTTTTTGGGATTTTCGCTATCGGCGTCATTCGGGGGGGGAGCATGGGGGGCAATTATGATTTTCTACAAAGGAAAAATTATAAGGAATCTTCCTGTATCAATGACACAAAACGAAGCAGATCAGTACTTCAAGTTGAAAAATATCTATGATTTTTAAAGGATCAATATGTCAGGGAGTATTTAATATTAGGCATCAATAACAAAATACACTTGGATAGGGAAGTAAATAACAGAATCTCCTTAATTGTTAATAACTGGCGCCTTCGGCCATTTGAAAATATCAAGGAACGCTATTAACAGAGGTTTCAATCATTCAATACTACTCAACCAATAATTTTTATTACTTCAACCTCATTCAGATATTTTTTGATTTTTTTTTACTTCTCCAAACCATTTTCAAAACAAAACTGTCACTGACAAGAGAATGAATATTTCTTTTAGGCTCTCTGATAGAAACATTTTTGAAACGCAGTCACATTTTGGGGAAAATCCTTTGATTTGTCCTGACTACTAGTATCTCTACAAATATATTGAAATGATACTCATATTTTCATTTGATAGAATCGAGCGGAGAAAATCCCAAAAAATCTGGAATAATGGATATACCACCTCCTCGACAAACCTACAGTCCTACAGACAGTCTTCACCATATGGTTTGTCCTAGTGTTGTCACTAATTCAGAGGAAGCAGATATGGAAATGGAAAATTTAGGATCAGTTCATTTTCAGTCAATTTATTCCACTGAGAAGAGTCAATAGATAGATAGATAGATAGATCTTTATTGAAATAGGAAACCCTAATATACAACGAATAGCATTCACATAAATAACAGTAATGATAATAATACATAATAAATAATATTAATTAATAACAATACACATTATTATTAAAATGATTATATAATAATAAAATAATAAAAACATCAGGTACTGATAGTGATAACAATAATAATACCAAAACTAATAAAGGAGAGTATGAGTTGAATATATACGTAGCTATAGAAAATTACATTGACAAATATTTTTTGAGGTTGTTTTTGAAACTAATCAAAGAAGTACTATACTTTACTTGTTCAGGTAGTTTGTTAAATTCGTGAAAACCTTTGAAGAATAATGAATTCATTGTCTTTTTATAATTTGTTCTGGGAATATGAATATTGTTGCAGTTTCTTGTTACGTGATTATGAACATCTCTGTTGAAAATTAAATATGCATTAAAATAAGTTGGAGCCATATTGTTCAGTATCTTGAAAACAAAAATCATAGTGAAATAATATACCCTTTGTTTAACTGAATACCATTGTAGTGTATTCTGCATCAATACAATAGGAGTATCACGACTTGTATTCAGTATTACCCTCATACCACGATTTTGCAATTTTTGAAGTTGGTTTATTTTGTTCAAATCTAATGTAAACAACACCGACGCGCAGTAATCGAAATGGGGTTGAATTATTGCATTGTATATGGTGATTTTGGTATCAACTGTTAAATTCTTAGCAATTCTGCTGAAAAAATAAAGTTTCTTCGATATTTTTTTATGGATATATTCGAAGTGACTTTCAAATGATAATACATTATCTAGGTGAAATCCCAAATATTTGACAGTTTGAACTATTTCAATTTTCTCATCATTTATCATCAAACTGATATCATCAAAGTTGATGCAGTTATATTTATATTTTGTCGTTATGATCATTCCTTTTGTTTTTGAAACGTTCAATTTAAGTTTATTTGTGTTCAAGTACTTGTAAACATCTATCAAGACTGAGTTCATCTTTTGAATGGCTACTTTCAAACTAGAATCACTACATACTATCAAAGTGTCGTCAGCAAAGAGGTTTATAAACTCACAATTCACAAATAGTTCGATGTCGTTTAAATATAAAATGAAGAGTAAAGGCCCTAATACGCTGACTTGAGGGATTCCTACATTATTAGTAATTTCTGATGATGAAACGTTGTTGTACCTTACTTTTTGTTTACGATCATTTAAGTAGTTTTTGAGCCAGTCATATACTTTTCCACTGATACCATATTGGGATAATTTTGACATCAAAATGTTTCGATCTATGGTCTCAAAAGCTCGTTTCAAATCTAAAAAAACACTGACAACATATTTGTTACTATCAAAGTCGCTTTTGAATTTACACAGTGATAGTTGTAGTGATGTTTCGCAAGAATATTTTTTTCGGAAACCTGATTGATTATTTATTAAAATATGATTGCACGAAATATGTTCCAATAGCTGATCATAAACGGCAATTTCCAGAATTTTTTCAATGGGGGGTAGTGTATTTATAGGTCTGAATTCACATGCTTTTATTGTACCTGTAATTTTCTGAATAGGAATGATGGTACTAACTTTCAAGGAAGTCGGGATTTCACCAGTCTCAAGAGACGTATTGATTAAGTTCAATATTACATGGCCAATGGTTTGGAAAATTTCTTTCAACATTTTGGCATTAAGAATTTCACTCAATGAAAGCTTAGAATCAAGAGAATGAACAATTTGTTTGAACAATCAAGGAACAATTCGCAAACAATAATTGAACGGCCTAGTGCAAGAAAGGTTTGAATGCAAAATCTTTATTTTCGGTATTATTACAGGTTTGTATACCTAAGACCGAGTTTTGTTCGTGCATAAACAGTATAAGTGCTCAAACTGCGACTGCCATCTTCGGGCCAGTAAATATACTCACTCACAGAGTTTGAGAAAATGATTCCTGCGGTTCAGTCGGTTCAAGTGCTTATACTTATACTGGTCTTGTACTAACTTTAGATACCTATTCTAAACATTCCACAGAAGATAGTCTTGTTTAATATGCGCTTTCTTGAAAAAAAAACATAAAATGTGTTCAGTCCAGTTGTTTCATCAGTTCAGTAAATTGGTGCCACATACAAAAATCATCCTATTCTGGCCCATTCCAGTATTTCTGTTATTGATAACAATCAACTTCAGATCCTTACTACATAGAGAATATTATTCGGCACTTATACCCTTTTAGCACTAGACCCTTCAATTCCTTTTTTTATGTTGAAAACAGGAGCTGATTCGTTCTCAAAACGCCCAAATCTAAATAAAAATTTGATATTTTTCATGTTATGTAATCGTGAGATCACAAACGCTTATTAGAGTAACCAAATTTTCAGGATAATCCAATGTACCGTTTTCCGTATACGTCTAAGGTACCATCGACCGTGGGCCACCCTGTATACATTGTGACATATTTAAGAGGCCGCAACACTCAGCCCGAGGAACGCGATCCTGCTGAAATGGCAAATTCTTGTTTTATTCTGCTTTCTTAGCAGGTCTCTCAAAATTGAAAATTCGAATTTTGTGTTGGAATTAGGTATGTAGGGTCAAAATCGATAGCCATATATCGAGAATTTGCCCTCATCGCAGGACCGCAGTATAGTTTTGGGTTTGGCTGTGAATCAGGTGGAGTATTGCGAAAAGTGCGGCCCATAAAAGGTATACGTCATTACCAGAAATCAAATATCTGCTATTAAAATTGACTAGACTACGGGGGTATCTTCATCTTTAGTGCGTAGATTTAGTAGCTAAACTTCAATGGGCTGTTGAGTGATTCAATGGCAAAAACTGAAAATTGTTCTTTAAAAAATAGTTGGCCCTATATGTAGGAAAATAATGATCAGTACTCACTTTGAACGCTGCTATAATCTCGTGTTACGCCCTTCAGACAACTCTCAGTAAATCCAGGGATGACGTTAGGGGTTGCACTAATGAAGAGGCGTCTCGCACGTTACCCTGGTAGGGACTAGTAGTCGTCATTTTCTTTTGAAACACTTGATTTTGTTACAATCGGTTATTATGCTCACGATTGGTTCAATTTTTTGTACACTTGACTTAGATATTAGTTACATTTGGTTTCTTTTTGATTTGATGAACACGTGATTCCTTTTACACTTACGCTCGTTTTGATATTAACTCGATTTGATTCACTCTGTGCACATGCAACTTTTCATTAATCTACTTAATTAAATTGTATTATCTTTATTCGCACTCTCGTTATTTCTTTGCTGCAACTTCCTCTATGGTCAGATAACCTCTCGCATACCATTACAAACCCTAATAATCTAAGCCCCACAGCTCAGCATATCCCACAAGGGAACGAAGCTGGAGGTGCAGTCCGTTATGTGGGAGTCAACCGCCTCAGGAGGGAGGATCGTACTAACCCCCGTGGTACAAAGGTAGGGAGTATCACCCTACCGTGACGTAAGGTGGCCACAAGCTACTTCGTGACAATACTATTCAGCAAAATGCGAAGAGAACATTTTCAACATCGAGATCAAAAGTATGTATTTAGTCCATCTTTTATAGGAGCAAAAAAGGTGCATTACATGAAACAAGCAGTTTGCAAATAAATATATGTATAATTATTATCATTCCAGAGTTCAAGTTTCCATCAAGTGTTTTATAAATTCATATTCTGATGGAGATTTAGAGAACACTAAATATATACATGGTAATTCACGTAGGCCACCCCTTAGAAGTTTGGATGTGGAATAAACCTGTGATAGATGAACTGACATGAATTAGGTTTTCTAAACTTAGATGAAGAAACCCAACCGAACAGTTTGGAGAAAATTTTGGTTTTCATTAAAAACGAGAAAGTTATGGTACCAACTATTGGCATACCGTGTAGCCTACGTAAAGTGAATCATCCTTTATAGCATTGAGTTGAAGTGTAATGATAGTTACTCAATACTATCAACAATAATTTTTCTTATCACAATATTCGAAATATAATCATATCAATAGTGCCTACAGATTCACATGTACTTATATACACAGCTTCATGATTCATGTGAGATTGCTAAATCGATAAATAAAATTAAATAATAATCAATCTCTAGCAGGCATAATATGCTCCTTCATCTACATAACATTGACAGGATCCAATTCCATCTGAATCATTCAGGAATGTCCTAGGAAAATTTACAGAGTCCACATGTGATGATGGAAATGCAACTTCTCCTGTGAAATGGAAATAAATAATGAAAAGACAATGTTCCGGCATCCTATAACACAAAACTCTAAATTAATTTTCCTTCAACAACGAGAAACTCGATATTTTTTATATTCATCTGGAATGATGAACTGAATCGTTTAGCGATTTGCTTGAACTCGTTTGAAGACCAGAAATCATACAGTTTTTTATTCTATTTGGGTTTAAACTACATACCTGTTCTTGGCACTGTCCTGTGCATCTTCAGTCTCAACATCTTTGATTTTATCATTTTTATAAACAGCTACGGTGTTATCGGCCTTTTTAGTTTTCTTCTTGCGTTCCTCCTAAGAAATGGAAATAATATCGACATCAAGATAAAATTCCTAAGAATCAACATATTAGAATGCAGATTTGGAGTAGTTATTCCAAATCAACTTTCTGTCAAAAAGCCGACAGCCCACTAATTCACCACGATTATTTCTCAGATTTATTGACCCGCCAAATGTATTTTTTATCTTATAGAACATTTTATCACCATTCCAACAATATATATAGTTATCAAAGATGAGAATTATGAAGATCCTACTTCCCAATGAGGAAGGAGGAGTTCTGAAGGTATGATATTCAAACCTGGTAGTGGTGTTGGATTCAGCAATTGTGAAATTTCTCGATATTCCATATTTTCAAATCACTTCCTGTTTTACCGGAAATGACTAAATTTGTTTTTCTTGAATCAGTGAATTCATCAAGATAATTCATAATCTTGATGAATTCAATGATACCGACTTTTATACGGTTATATCGTTCGTTTTGGTCCGTCGGTAAAGCAGTCGGAAGGAATTTCACTAATATTTCATTCCCATCACTCTCCAAATCCTATACCGCACATTAGCAACAACATAGCAACAGAAAACATTTAGAGAGGTTAATCGAAATCAATCGGCATTAGGAAAAGGAACACTTAGTATTATCATAGATTAACGGTCAATCTATGGTATTATATATACGTTATACGTATCGATGCATAGATTTCGGGAGGATATAATTCAATTAGCCAGGAAAGTAATTGTTTTTCTTCCGTCATCTACCATTGTTCTTCATTCTAAGGACATTTGTGGAAATGACTTCAGGCCTTTTGTATTTATTTAACCTTTCATTTCACTTTGAGCATAGTTTAATATATTGTTGTAAAATTTCATACTGTTCGCTGAAGATGAGCCTATTCAGGCTCGAAACATCTACCATGATAATCTGATGATTGAGAAATTTGATTACTTTCAAAATTGTGGAGACAGATTAAGGTTGTTATATTGAAACAAAATCATCCTGAAGGAAGTTTAAAATTCTTCTTGGAAATTATGATCTATAAATATTCCGTGAACACAAACCATTTTCAGCTATTCAGGGCCGAGGAAAATAGATAGGTACCTATATTATATGTCATAATATTTTTGAGAATCATGCAGAGAATTTTGTGAGTGCAACGACAAAAAGACTCAAAATAGGTACCCCATCGAACGGTACCCCTATTATTTCGTAATATTGACGTATAAGAAAATATATACCAGAAAATATCGAACAAAATGCAGCCAAAGCAACCAAATATTCATTACCAGATAAATCCAGACCCTAGTCGTGTGACAAGGATTACGAACTATACGTACTTATTTATTGAATGGGAATGGGGGAGACCACTGATTTTTGGAAACGACATTATTGTGAACTCTAAACTGAAAAACTACCAACGAATTAATTTTGAATTTTTTCATTCATGCTAAGAAGATGAGAAAAATAAATTAGAATATGTCCATTTCTAAACACACAATTCCTGCGCCATTTGAATTTTTGTCAATTCATTGGTGAGACTGGTGCGACGTCTTAGTCCCAACACGCCTATTGTCCTTGAACTCACCAATCACACTGCAACACTGGAGAATGATGAGGTATCAGAGAGAGTTTGCTACAGTGCGGGACTAATACGTCACAGCTCCACCATCATATTTGGCTTTTCGAAATAACGAATGAAATATGCTGATGCGAAACGATATAGATTCGATTCCCTTCATTTTCAACTCATAATATTGATTGTAGATCAAACGTAAATTATGATTCGTCGATTGAAATAGGTTTGCACGGATTTCTTCCCTCAGTGGTCTTCCCCATTGAAAAATTAAATTATTATAAGCGGGCATTATAGCCATAACGCCCCACTTATAACGCTGAAGTGCGTTATGACGTATCCAAGGTATTCAAGGTAAAATGAACAAAGAATATTCGAGTGAAAAATTAGTAAATAAAACTTCACCAATTCTCATATCGAATATAACGTCTGTAAGCAAAAATATTGATCTCAATTATTTTTTTCTACATTCATGCAAAAAGCAGAACTTTATTGAACTATATTTAGTGGAAAAAGAAGTTCTTTATTGCACTCATCTGTCATTCTACTCCAACGTGCTGTCATCATGACAAACATTTTTTATATTGCAACTGTGGTTATAGAAACGTCAGTCAAAAATTAATTCTGACAATTAACATTTTCCTACTCCTAGTGCCGCACCTCAATTAATCATTTTTTGCTTTTTGCATGAACGTAGAAAAAATGTTGTATGCAACTCGTGCAAAAATTGTTTATTGCACTCGACGTGTTGTCTAACTCGGCCTATTCACTTTTCGCACTTGTTGCATAAATGGAAAATTGGTAGATTTTGGTAGAAAAACAACTACTTTCCTGGCTAATGCCACTCAGAACATTGATTTACATCCTTCCCGAAATCTATGCATCGACTCGTATAAACGAATACTGATACAAGTGATTCTTTCCTCCTGAATGCCTATTGAATTCGATTTAACCAGGCCACGCTAGACACCTACAGACCGGTCTCGAGCTCTTTGACTCTCATCAGTGCAGGGCAGTCTCCAGCTAGCAGTCCTAAGACCGCCGACTAAGCGAAGCCTAGCCAAACAAAAATCAAGTCGGCATTATATTCCCCAGAGGCGTCTTTCATAAACAATATGGATTCGTGGATGTTATATCACAGAAGGTTGATTTCAATCTGACAAAATTATTATTCGGAAAAATTAACTGCTAAAATATTAGCTATCTATACCTCTACGATTTCACCAATTTTATAGCTTTTGAGCTCCTTTTTAGCATCTCCGGAATGCCCAGCAGCAACAAAATCCTTTGTTGCGTCTTTTCCTGCAAACTCCATTATCGTTTCTTTTCCACCTGGATGCTGAAATGTATAAATATGAAGTATAATTCTATAGTTTTTGAAAAAGTATTTTCCCAACAGAAATATATTTATTACTTTAGCACGATTGTCCTGAAGAATACAAATTGATTGCCTGCTGCTCATTTCACTATTATTAATAGATTTCAAATTGTTTAGAGACACCTATTGTGTAGTACCTCTAAATAACCTCCAAGACTAAAACTCGCCAACTCGTTCGCCCGATGTGACCCCACCAGAATTTTTTCTCTGGGGATCTGTCAAGAAATATACTTATGACCAAGCCTTCAAAGAACTCAGAATATTGGTTGTTGAAGCATTTCAGAGTATATCGCTATAGAAATATTCAAATTCAACAATAAGAATATGTTATGAGTGCTAAGAAAGCAATTAATGGCAATATTTTTGAACATCTGTAAATTCATCAGTTTCGTATAGAATCGTTTTGATTTTCAAAGAGGTTTTTGATCTGTGCATTTGTTTATTTCTATACTGTCATTTTTCATCAAATTGTTGATTATACACGTTTTCCAAAAAGGGTATCGATATCGATGTAGCATTGTTGAATGTTAAATTTGACAAATGAACTTCTTTTCACAGAATTATGAAAAATTCAGGTCCGTATTCCAAAAATCCAATTGAAGACGGCCAAAATAAGCTCGAATGGAAAGGGATATTCGAATCTAATATCAAGATATCTGTACCGTATTTAAAAAAGTTATGCCATAACCTTATTATCATCACGCCAGGAAAAAGTAAAATCAGAAAATTCCGTTTTTTGGAAAAAACTCGAAAACTTTAAGTCATGTCCTTCGCTATGCCCATACTGGCATTGCTCATTTTAAGCACAGGTATAGTCTAATTATTACAGTCTTTATTCTCAATCAAAGTAGCCCACAAATCGAAAAAAAAATCACATAAAAAGTGTATCTTCTTGATATACTTCAACGCCATGTACAGGGTGGCCAACTAAGACTCCAGAGTTCGATTTCTCTGTTGTCTTGAGAGATACAAAAAGAATTCATGAATCGAAATTGAAGTAATAACCGAGCTCCACATTTCAAAATTTCTTCGAAATACACAGGGTGTTCCGTAAGGTCACAGCACATCAAAGCTATGTTTTTTTCATTGGAACACCCTATATTTCATTTCACTTTTGAATTCTCCCTGAAGATCTGATTCCAACGACCCATCATACTTAGGGTCTAGCAGTGAAAGTTCCTGACATATAGGGTGTGCAAAATCGAGATTTTCCAAGCTCAGGATTTTTTTCTGTCGAAACTGTTCATTATTTGTCTAAACGGTTTACATGTCCCTATCTTAACTTTTCACTCACTATCAATTGGTGTTCAATTGAAATTGATACAAGGTGGTCAAGAAATCTAAATTTATAATTTGTTTCAATTAAATGTCAATTGAACACCAATTGATAGTGAGTGAAAAGTTGAGATAGGGATATGTAAACTGTTTTGACGAATAATGAACAGTTTCGCCAGAAAAAAATCCTGAACTTGGAAAATCTCGATTTTGCACACCCTATATGTCAGTAACTTTCACTGCTAGACCCTAAGTATGATGGGTCGTTGAAATCAGATCTTCAGGGAGAATTCAGAAATGAAATAAAATATAGGGTGTTCCAATAAGAAAAACATAGATTTGATGTGCTGTGACCTTACAGAACACCCTGTGTATTTCAAAGAAATTTTGAAATGTGAAGCTCGCTTATCACTTTAATTTGAATGCAAAACTTTTTTTTGTATCTTACAAGACAACAGAGGTATCGAGCTCTGGAGTCTTAGTTGGCCACCCTGTACATCATCAATAAAATAAACTCTAATCGGAACCTTATACTTGGGATGCATTTTCTCCATCTGGGAGATCTATGAAATCATCCACTTCATTTGTTCCGTAAAAAATCCCCAAAAACCCAAGAGGATAATCTTCTAATTGACATGAATTACATTCAATTTTGAATATACATAATTACACTCACTTCGTCCAAGTAATCAGTCACATCATACACATTATCCTTGATGATAATCCAAACAGTGCCTTTTTCACTTTTTCCATTTTGTTTCGACACTTCTTCCAAAGTATACACTTTGGTGGTAGTATCTTCGACCATGTTGCACCACAATTAGATAGAAAATTTCTCAATAGTCAACGAATTAATTAGGATCATTGGAATGGGCATTAATATTGCCACAAAACACGCAAGTGATCCTACTAGCTTCTTATTGATCTCGCTTGCCTTATCGCAATGACTGCTAGGAAATGTTATTATTTTATATATTTATGACGAATTCAAACTTATCGGGGTTTTTCTATGTACCATTGGTGAAACAAAGTCGAGATGAGTATTCATATAAAAACGCGAAACGCGAAAACTTCGGCAAATCATTCATAAAAATCCGCACGATTGAGAACTATTATGACAATTATTATTGATTGATTGTCTTTATTACCCCAAGAAACATAGTAGTTCTAATAGGGATATATGAACAATATACATAATGTTTTATACATACAATTATGAAATTATTATAAAGATATAACAAGTAAAAAAAATGCAAATAATCATGCAATATCAACCTTGTCTTTCATAAGTAGGTATTCAAATAAGAAATGGAATTATCAAAGTCTCAGAAGCAGATATTATTTCAAGTTAATTTTGAATCTAGTTGCTTCCTGTATATTCCTCAATTGACTTGGTAATGAGTTGTATAGAACGATTCCTGTGTGAAAAATGGATTGTTTGCCGATATTTGACTTGAACGTATTTGCTATTAGTAAATTTGATTGTCTTGTTCCATGATTATGTAATGAATTGATTTCCTTTAAATATCAAATTCGAAATTTTCAATTTATATAGAACAAATTGAATAAAACAACATATTTTAAGTTTATTATTTGAATTAATTATGTTGATAATGACCCGAGTTCTTATGATTAGTTCTTATATATGAGTTCATTTACTTTTTGAAATAAGTATGGGTACTACTCGAAAACAAAAAATGGCGAAAGTATTCTCCACAGGGTTTTGGATGTATGATAAATTGGATATCCATCATACAGGACGTGAAAAGGAATTCTGAATTGAGAAAACCTAATCACGAAACTGCAATTGGAGGTCTTAAAAATAACAATAAGTTTCCATCGTTCAAGTTTAAACCCCTTGATTGGATGAAAGTTTTGAAAAGGAATATTCTCAGATATTTTTATGATCATGAAAAAATGGATATATACAGGGTGTCCCTAGACCAGTGGGACAGTTGAATATCTCCTGAACCAATAGGAATTTTCAAAATATTATGATTTCACATCATATCGCATTATGAATTCCAACTTCAGGAATGACTATATTTTATACGAGGGGCGCAAGAAAGGCTCACAAAATCGAACATCATTTTTTTCAAATGGAACACCCTGTATTTCATTGCATTTTCATATTCTACTTGAAGAGCTGAATTCAACGACCTAGCACACTTGGGGTCTAGCGGGAATGATTTCCGAGATATAGGGTGTGGAAAATCTAGATTTTTAATTTTTGGGAATATTTTGTGACGAAACTATTCATTATTGGTCAAAACGGCTCACATGTTGATATCTTGGATTTTGATTTTCCATTTACTCGTATTCAATTGAAACAAATACAGGGTGGTGTAGAATTCTGACTGAAACTGAGAATTCTACACCACCCTGTATTTGTTTCAATTAAATACGAGTAAATAGTGAACAGAAGTTAAGATATAGATATGTTAGCCGTTTTGACCAATAATGAATAGTTTTGACACAAAAAATTCCCAGATATGAAAAATCTCGATTTTCCACACCCTATATCTCGGAAATCATTCCCGCTAGACCCCAAGTATGCTAGATCGTTGAATTCAGCTCTTCAAGGAGAATATAAAAATGCAATGAAATACAGGGTGTTTCATTTGAAAAAATGGATGTTCGATTTTGTGAGCCTTTCTTGCGCCCCTCGTATAAAATATAGTCATTCCTGAAGTTAGCGCTCATAATGCGATATGATGTGAAATTATAATATTTTGAAAATTCCTATTGGTTAAGAAGATATTTAACTGTCCCACTGGTCTAGGGACACCCTGTATATATGTCAGCGTCAATTAGTTGAATCCGTCATTCCCTGAAATGCCTAGTCATGCCACCTATTGTCGGCAAACAGCGTAACTTCCATTTTCAGCCGTTACTCTGTTTGCCGGAGGGTTGAGGAAGGAAATAGTATATTGTGCAACAAGTGGGAAAAGTTAAACTTTTCCCACGAGTGCGAAAGTTTGTGGCACGAGCCTGAAGGGCGAGTGATGCAAACGCACGAGTGAGAAAAGTGCTTTTCCCCACATGTTGCACACTATACTTTTTCTACAACTGCACTTATTCAAAGAATCCGAGTAATGTAACTTATTGGTATTCATTTTATAATGTGGCACTATGCAACATTGAATATAGTGACCAAAGAGTAGACGCCTTTCCTAGTTCCACAAAGTGTCTCAAAAAAGTACTCTTTCCGAGATAGAATTTATTTCTGTATTTTTCTAGATTCAATAAATTTTTCGTACCAATATACCAATTCATACTTTTTTCTTAAAATTACCGGAAACAGATCCAACTTTCGCAGCTTTTTCCATCATCTCTGTCTCTGGCGGTGTATTTATCAAAATCGTCACATCTCGGTATGTACATCATATTATTTATTATGAATTGTTGGAACAATACTCGATGGAAAATGCGATTTCTATCAAAGGCACTAATGAGAACTACCCTAAAGAATTTAAAAAACTTCTTCTGACAGTTGTGACAACTATTCAAAGCTGAACAGCAGCCAAGTATTGATCGATTTTGGTTGATTCTCCATGGAAATGTATTGAGAAATAGTTATTTGTTTAACTAGGCAGCAAAGTAGTAGATTGACTGCCGTGGCTGAATTCATAGCCGAGCGTAGCGAGGCTAGGAATCCAGCTAAGGCAGTCAATCTACTTTGCTGCCGAGTTAACATATAATTTTTTCTCCGATTGTTCATAATGATATGAGAGAATATTGTATTTGCGAATTAATACAATTCCCACAATCTCTTTATTCTTCCTGTATAGTGTTCAATTAAAATAAAATTTGATAGAAATCGCAGTTGTTGGTTTGAGAGTGGGGGTAACAACTGTTTTCAAAAACAATAGGCGAAAGATAACGACGAAGCGTTTTTTTGATGAGTTATCACAAGATGAGAGAATTTTAGACCCGGAATCCTATTTCAAATTCATTGTATACTATTGCTGTTCAGATATATATTCATTTCTCAAATTGAACAAAGATTTCAGAGCCTCTGCGACCTGAGTAGTATGTTCGAAATATTACAACCGGAGAAATTCCTGTCTTCTTCAAACGAAGAGATATTCAACGCCTCCGGAAAATTGTTGTCTAAATACAGTAAAGACATCTCAGTGAATCTTTTTGACAAATTAATGGCTTTAGAAAAATGCTTAAAATCTGAAATTCAAAAAATTCATTTCCCGAGAGGAACTCATTGAATTATTGCTGATAAAATTCAATAGTCTTCCCCTTCCAGTTACCACTGCTGAAAGAAGTTTTTCAAAATTAAAACTGACAATTTAATTCATGTATGAAAATTCCACAAGCCGCGTGATTTTGTCATTATGACAGCAAAAGAAGTTTGCCCTAACTTTTCCAGCGACAATAACGGAACCTAACTTTTGAAAGCATGACAACTAGCAATAAACAAATAATGTTTGATGAATTAAACTGTCTTACCGAATTACACTCTAGCTTTTTTTTGTTAGTCGAAGTAATTTATAATTTATAATTTATTATTTATAATTCGAATTTTGTTGCCATTAGGTAATTCAACTCAAAAAACTGCCAGACAAAATTCTTATTGATTGTGTCAAGTTCACCTCGACAAAAAAAAAGCTCTCGTATAATTATAAGTGATGAAAAATTACCTGAGAACTTCGATGGGAAATGAACGCCTGTCAGACCTGTCACTATTGTCCTATTGTCCATAGAGGCAGAAACTTTAGAAACTCCCAAGTCATCATCAGCGATAAATGATTAAATGAATATCAGTTTGCCGAAAAAAAGACAAAGAGAATTTATATTTGATTTGAATTGTTTGTAAGAATTTTTCAGATGTGACATAAATAATTATAATAATGACTATTTCTTTTAATTTCATGCAACATTTTTTTTCCTTTTGTGAGATATCTTTACCCTTCATAAGGGCCCCCAAACAAGTTTTTATACGGGGCAACGCCAAGGCACGCTACGCCACTGCCTTCTTTGGTATATATACACGTGCTCGCAGCCAAGCAACCCTCACTGATATATAATGAATAGTTTTGACACGAAAAAATCCTAGAGCTGAAAAATCTCAATTTTTAATACCCTATATCTCTGTCATCTTTTTCGATAAACCCCAAGTGTGATACATCGACAAAATCAGCTCTTTAGGGAGAATCTGACAATATCATGAAATACAGGATGTTCCTTTTGAAATATCAATGTTGCTACTACTTTCTAGTAGAAGCGGCAACACTGCATTGTCGAAAATATTTCAAATGAGAAGGGCGTATTCTAAAATATGAGCATGCACATTTTCATAGATTTTTCTCGACTGATTCTCGATATAAAGATAGTGTAAGCTTATCGTGACATACCCTGTGTTAAAACACTTGAATGAAATAGCCGATAGCAGTTGTGGAAAATAATTGTTTTGAATTGGTCAACACATATTTTGTGACATTCTTACGTTGGAAATAAAATGAATTTCAAAATCACATTCCGATTTTATTCAACCCCCAAGCATACAAAAAAATTAAATCTGATCAGTTCGATGGATTCTCCTTTTCACCAGCTTCAACGACATAATTAATTAATGATTAGGCTGAGGATGGACATATGTCCGAAACATCTACCGATTGATTGGATCGTTTGATCATATTGAAATGTCGTGGAGAAAATTTTTAGTATCATTTAGTAATAGATATAATCAATTTTAGTTTTTAGTTTATATGTATAATAGGTATTGAAAGGATAATATTTTTAAAAGCGAATCATCCTGTATATAGTTTCATGGAATTTCATTCATGACTGATATGATGTGTTCTGAATCTATAGATTATCAACATTATGACCAAATTCACTCTTCCGTTCGTTTTCTTTTTGTTTGTTTCATGATATACAGGGTGTCCCTAAAAGGTCTGTACAAAATCTCAGCACATATTCCTTGGGTC